TCCGCGGACTAGGTGCCACGCGCCCGGCTATTTGGCCAGCAGAGGGCGCTGCGCCCCCTCCTGTCGGATCCTCCCCGAGCAGCTCGAGTCCCAGGCTGGCAGAGACTTGCGCACACACCGACCAGCACACGCTAACCCCGCTCTGCGCGGATCTCCGGTTGTACCCAGCGGGCTGCGTCTTCTCCGCGTAGACTTCTCGCTCCGCATGTGTGCGGAGCCGCATCGCCTGTTCTCCATTCCTTCTCACAGGACCCCTGGGGATCAGACCTTGGTACCTGGCTGCACGTGTTCTCTGAGGGGTACACGTGTGTGTCCTATCCCAGCACACACATGCTCAGTCACCCCCTCTGACCCTCTGCTCCACCTGAAGACAGAACCCAGACGAGCCTTCCTTCTCCGTAGGCTGCTTCCTCCCTTTCCCCTCCCCCTGTGTCCAGGGATGGCCAGTTTCCCCAGGTGGACATGGTGACATGATGGAGAGATGGAGGGCTAGCGGTCAAGACAGAGAATGGGCACAGGGTTGACTGTCTAGATGGATGGACAAGAGGAGGGGTTGCTGGGAGGGTCGGCTCTCTCAGCCACCCTCTGAGCCTTTGCTTCTTCTTTCCAGGTTTTAGTGCAGTGGGTGAGGGGATACAAGGGAGATGACCTTGAATCCTTCCCTTTCTGTCATGTTTATTGTTCCTCCTCATCATCTCCCCATCATCCCTCCTCCTTTCTCTCCTTCTTGCTCCCCCATCCCTTCCCAGCCCTGGGATAGGACCTTAGTCAGCACTCACGCTGCCCCAAGTGGACTTGCACACACACACACACACACACACACACACGCGCGCGCGCGCGCGCGCACATCTGCTCATATGTGGAGATGCCCACCCTGGCAGTCTAGGGAGCCCAGAGACAGGCCTCTGACGAGTGAGAGCGCACGTCTACCTGACAGGGAGCTGTAGACAGCCAGGTGTGGGGCTTGACAAAAACTCTTGGAGCGTGAGTGACCTCAAAAGCATGCCACCAGGGCCCCGGAAGGCTAGGTCCAGGGACATGCTGGCTACAGCAAGTTCTGGCCAATGTCCACCTGTCCTGGACAGATGAATGACCAAGTTCCAGGCCAGGCAGGATCCCAGGAGACGCTGCTCCATGTCAGCTGGAGACCAGGGCCACCACCCACTGAAGGCTCTCAACCCCAGGGCCCAGAGCAAGGGCCTCAGGTGCTGTTTGTCCTGGACCATTTCTAACCCAGCACGGTCTTCACAGCTCTCACTGGAGTGGGAAGGGAGGTGACAATCCTAATAATTACCATTTTCTGACTTTCTCCAAGGCATCAGCACATTCACTCCTAACAACATATTAGGGAGGTGGGAACTAACATCTCCACTTTTTTTTTGGCCCGGAGGCACAGCTTGCAGGATCTTAGTTCCCCAACCAGGGACTGAAACCTGGCCCCCGGCAGTGAAAACTCAGAATGCTAACCACTGAACCACCAGGGAATTCCCATCACCTCCACTTTAAAAGTGGGGAAGCTGAGGTGACAGCAGTTAAACACTGGTCGGGGGTGCAGAGCACACGGCAGTATTCAAATGCTTTCTCTTTCTTTTCAAAGGTTCTCAATAGACAGGCATTATTGCTGTTTGGTGCCTGTGTACGGGTGCAGAAATTGAGGCCAGGTAATATGTAGGGACTGGGCAGTGTCTGTCCTCAGGCCCTCTATGACCCTGTCTGAGGGGAGCAAAGGAGGGAGATGCCCTTGAAATTCACTGGGACAGCCCCGAGGCAGGGAATTCCCCCCACCCCTCCGTGCCAGGGACTAATGTCACTCACACTGTCCCCGCAGCCACATTCCTTCAGTCTTGAGTGTTTCTTGAAAGATTCCTTCATGCCACGCAAGCCTGGGAGTCTGCACGGGAACAGTGGCAGCACCAAGGAGGTCAAAGCCAGAAGTAGCCACTAGTTATTCCCAAGCCCATCTTCTCTATGAAGTTTGCCCTGACTCTGCTGGAGGGGGAAAATTAGGGCAGGCTTCATAGAGGAATTGAACTTGAGCAAAGTCTTGAAAGAAAACCAAAGAAGAAAGGCATTCCAAACCCAGAGTCTCCACTACTTGGTGATTACCCAGGCACGTTACAAAGAGCCAGCCAGGAAGAGGGAGAAGTGAAAATCACAGATGAGGCTGGGAATGGCCAAGAGAGGTCCCCAGTCACTCAAAGGGAGCCAGGAACCCAAGGAGGGGCCCAGGAGAAGGGCTGCCTCTTCTTCAGGACCAGAGGGAAGCTGGCAAGGGTATAGGGGGCTGCAGGTGAGCTTGCAGCTGCAGGGGCAGGGGAGGATATGCGAAGACTTGCCAGCTGGTTTCACTTTCTAGGTATGACAAGAGGCAAATCGATCTGCTGGAAGAAAGCCAGAGCAAGGTAGGATACTCAAAGAGAGTAGGGAAGATTTGAAGTAGGGCTTAGAAGAATAAGGAGAGAGCTGCCTGGGGACAGTGTGGTGTACAGATTACTGAGACCCCCTCCTGAGGCCAGAGACCATGGGCTTGTCAAGGCAACAGTCTGCATGGCTGGGCGAGTTTCTCCAGCAGGGCTCAGCAGCACAGATGGGAGCAGAAGGGTGTGGAGGAGAATGTGCATGGAGGGAAACAGTGGGGGGCAGGGAGGGCAGGGTGCAGAGAATGGGGAGCTGGGACAGAGGACACTGCAAGGTGAGATGCCAGGGGATCTGGCTGGACAGGGTAGAGTCAGGTCAGGAGGTGGGATGAACAGAAAGGGGAGGGGGGAGGGATGTAGCTGGAATTGAAGTGGGGGAGGGTGGATGGACAGAGCCTGTGGTCACAGTCAGGATAGTTTACTTGAAGATTTCAGAAGGCCTGTCCCAGGTAAGGACAGGTATAATAAGGCTGTAAGGTGAGCTGGCTGGAATGAAGCAGACATGAAAGCCACCTGTCTCCAGGTCAGGAAACTTATTCACTCATGCATTCATCCAGCAAATATTTATTGAGCACCTACTGCAGGACTGAGCCAATCCCCATGCAAGAGGTTACATACAGGGATGAACAAAACTTGGTTCATGCCCCCCTAAGGGGCTCACTGCCTCACTGGAGCGATACATTAACACCATGACAACACCTCATGGTGACTGTAGTGTAAATGGCCAGGTGTGGTGAGGAGTCCTCACCCAGGAAAGGGGGAGGTGATGTCAATGCTGAGCCTTAGGAATAGGTGGTTGTTGTTCAGTTGCCTAGTCGTGTCTGACTCTTTGCAACCTCATGAACTGCAGCATGCCAGGCCTCCCTGTCCTTCACCATCTCCCGGAGTTGCCCCAATTTCATGTTCATTGCTTCAGTGATGCTGTCCAGCTATCTCATCCCCTGATGTCCTTCTGCCCTCAATCTTTCCCAGCATCAGGGACTTTTCCAATGGATCGTCTGTTTTCATTAGAAATCAATCAGGGATCCCCCAAACAAAGGATGTGGGGTGGGCTTTCCAGGGACAGGAGAGAATATCCCCCAAGGGGAGACCAGCATAAAGTATTCTAGAACCACTGGCCATTTGGTGAGGCCAGAGGGTAAAGGACAAGGCAAGAAGTGGGGAGAGGTGAGGCAGGAGAAGCAGGGTCCCAGAGGACCGTGGAGGCCAGGCACGGAGCTCACAGAGGCGACCAGAGGCTTTGAAGGGATTTTAGCGGGGAGCAGCAGGATCAGATTTGCATTTTAGAAAGATCACTCAGGCTGCAGTGTGGATAATTGATTGGAGCGGAGCAAGGGAGACGACAGAGAATGGTTGGAGGCTGCAGGGCAGCAGGGGTGGCAAGAAGAGGGCAGTGTCAGGAAATACTTGGGATTCAGCATCAGTAGGACTTGATGCCTTGGCTGGACGGGGGCGGGAGGGTGAGGTCAAGGATGCTTCGCAGGTGCCACCAACTGAGCTGGGGATAACAGGAGTGCATTCAGGGGGCCTGGAGAGAAAAGAGGATCTCATCGTGAGACACATCACATTTGGGGAGCCTGCGGACACCAGGGGACACTTACTGGGCAGGGACACATGGCTCCGGCCGCGGCCTGGGCACTCTGATGTGGGTAAGAGGTGACGAGTGTAATATTTTAGCAGCTCAGCAGGTTCTTCTTAGGGACAAAACACTGCTGTTGGAGAAAATACCTTGGTATATTACTGGGGGTTAAAGGGCAGAGCCTAGGTGTGGGTAAACTAGGGCCAGCACAGTCACAAGAGTGGTAAGCTGCCCTGTGAAGAGGCAGAAGAGAGTGAAGTCAGTGGAGACTCCAGACTGGTGGGCAGCAGAGGTACCCACTGCTACAGGCGTCACCAAGTAGCTGTGGAACAACCCCCCCATCTGCCCCTCTGCACCCCCGCAGGCACACGTCCTCAGTGAAGTTGACCCCATTCACATCAGCTTTCAGAGAGTGGTGTTCTAGGTGGAAATGGAGGACAGAGCTTCCTTCACATCTGGGTTTATGGGGTGCAGAATAGTGTGAGCCCATTTGGAGGCCAAGTCTGCAGGCAAAGGGGGCCAGGAGACTAGGAGCCTGGGGGCGGAGGGTGCACAGAGCCCGCTGACGTAGGCCTTGGACTTGGGGATCTGAGTGATCTCGTTCTAAGCTGACATCGCAGATGGGAGTGTCCTACAGTCACCTGTGGCCCCTAGATTGGGTGTCAGCCAGCAGCAGACTTAGGCCTGTCCAGCTTGGAAAACTCCTGGGGGGTTCCAGTTCAGTGCCCAAGGACAGCCCCCCTCCTTGACTGTCATGTGAGTTTAGGGTGGGGCGGGTGTGTGGCCACCCCCACACCTCCCACCCCACCCCCAGACACACATAATCCTGTCACCTGCCCCCTGCCAGTCTGACCAGCTTGGTCCTTGAAGCAGCAGCGCCGTGAAGGAGCTGCAGGCTGGGGCCGGAGCAGCTGGAGGCAGAGACCAGAAGAGAAACATAGACCTGGGAGCAAAGGTGCCAAGGCCTGGGCGCGATGGAGTCAGGCCGGCGCAGCTTGGCCAAGATGCTGGTGTGCCGGCTCTGGATGACCATCAGCAAGGCTCTGTTTGCCGAGTTCCTGGCCACAGGACTGTACGTGTTCTTTGGCGTGGGCTCGGCTCTGAGATGGCCCCTGGCGCTTCCCTCTGTGCTGCAGATCGCCATCACCTTCAACCTGGCCACGGCCGTGATCGTGCAGATCACCTGGAAGGCCAGCGGGGCCCACGTCAACCCTGCCGTGACGCTGGCCTTCCTCGTGGGCTCCCAGATCTCCCTGCCCCGGGCTGTGGCCTATGTGGCTGCCCAGCTGGCAGGGGCCACGGCGGGAGCTGCTCTGCTTTACGGGGTCACGCCTGGGGACATCCGAGAAAACTTTGGGGTCAATATGGTAGGTGCAGGGGGGGGGAGGGGCAGGTATATACAGATGGTAAGTGGGGAGGGCCAGGCCAGGGAGGAGGGGATATGCAGAGCAAGTGCTCCACACCTGCTCTGGGAACGTGGGACTCTGGGGAAAGACCATGGCCTCAGTGCAGGCAGAGCAGGAAGGGGACTGTGGTGTGAGGAACAGTGGGGAAAGGGGGGACAGGAAGAAACCACAGTAAGGGCCAGGAGTGGGAGGAGGACCAGGCACTTCAGGGTTGGAGCAGCAGGGGAGAGGTGGGGCTGTGGGGGCAGCAGGGGACCCTGCACCTACTTCACCTCCCCAGTCCACACCCCCTCCCCACCCCCCACCTTCCTCCTGTTCCTCCGTCCCCAGCACTCTGAGCCTGTCTCACCTCCCCAGATTTCTCTAATCACCCGTGTTCCACCTACGTCCCTGAGTCCCCACCTTCCACTCCTACGCACTGCCCCTCCCAGGCAGCCCACGGGCGAGCATCGTGCAACACAGCTTCTCCAGCCTTCTCTCCTCCACCAGCCCTGGGCCCCCACCTCCCCCTGGACCGTGGCCCCGACCACCCTATGGAGTGGGTGGGGTGCTGCTCACTCCCGCAGGGAGTAAGTGTCCGTGTGGGCTCACTTCAGGGCTCACCTGAACCCCAGTGCACCGCTCTCCCCAGCCCATTAGCTCCTTAAGTCCTGGGGCTGACGGTGGCAAGGTGTCGCACCCCTTACCGTGAGGAACGAGGGCCCAGGGCTCACTATCCCCGGGCAAAGTCCGCTGGCTCCAGCGTAACCCACCCCCAACCCGCCCGCCCCGCACAGGTCCGGAGCAGTGCCTCTACCGGCCAGGCGGTGGCGGTAGAGCTCATCTTGACCCTCCAGCTCGTGCTCTGCGTTTTCGCCTCCACCGACAGCCGTCAGACCACGGGCTCCCCCGCAGCCACAATTGGAGCCTCGGTGGCAGTGGGCCACCTCATCGGGGTAAGGGGCATAGGGGACACCTGCCTGTGTACCCACTGGCCCCTCCCTGGGGAGGTGGCAAGGGCCCTGGCGGCCAGGAAGTGTCCCTCCCCAAACTTTTCATGCCCTGGAGCCAAGGCTATGCCCCATCTCAGGCCCAGGGTAGGGGGACCCAGAGCCCCAGTCTGGGGCTGGGGCTTGAGCGGGGGTGAAGGGGACTGTCCTCTCCCAGGCCTGCCTTCAGGCTGCTCACGCCCTGCCCTGCACTCACTCCCCAGTTCTATTTCACCGGCTGCTCCATGAACCCAGCCCGCTCCTTTGGTTCCGCCGTCATCGTGGGGAAGTTTGAAGTCCACTGGGTGAGACCCTCTGCCGGCAGCCAGGGGAGGGGCGAGGCCCCAGTGCCCATAGGGACTTTCACCAGCAGGGGGGCCCCAGACACTGGGGGAGACAAGGCTCCCTGCCACAGAGCATCTTCACTCCCAGGGGAGGTTTCCCTAAGCTCGGAAGACCAGGGCCAGCATCCTTTCTTGCCCGCCTCAAGGTCGGGGGCACCCAGTAGACTGGTGAGAAGTGGGCCAGGGCCGGCGTGGCAGCCTTGGCCCAGGCCTCAAGTCCTGGCTGCTTCCTTATTCACTTCCTCCAGCTGGACCAGTTTCCAAACTTGGATAGAGAAAAAGACAAACAGAAATAGACACACAAACACAGCAGCAGGGACAGGAGGAGCACTAGCCAGAGTTCTGGGCTGGAACGGGGGAGGTGAGAGGAGGGAGGCAGGGGTGGTGGGGGCCTGACCCAGCCCCGGGGAGGCGAGGTCCCTTCACCTGCAGAGACTCAGTGTTGGGGTTCCTGGGGGGTGGGGGGGAGGAGGCAATGGACAAGACTTGTGCTTCTCGAATTTGCCACCTTGTAGAAAGCTCCAGGGCTCCCAGGAGACCAAGTTAACACTGGAAAGCAGGCAGAATCCCAGAGACACCCTGTGGTCTTGACGGCTCACGAGCAGGGCATCTGCTTTTGCCTCCTCAGATCTTCTGGGTGGGACCCTTGACGGGAGCCGTCCTGGCTTCGCTGATCTACAACTTCATCCTGTTCCCTGACACCAAGACCCTGGCCCAGCGACTGGCCATCCTCACAGGCAGTGCGGAAATGGAGAAAACGGAAGGGGAGGAACTCCAGAAAAAAGAAACCCAGTCCAACTCAGAGGACACTGAGATGGAGAGTGTGTGTCAGGTGGCATAGAGCTTGGCCTCTGCCCTCAAGCTTCTGAAAAGAGCCCTGAAAGTGGATAGCATGCTTTGTATAGATTTCAGGTTTTCCTGGGGAGATGGGGGGCTCGTGAGGTGGGGTGGGAAGGCTTGGCCTCTTGACCTAACAGGGTGGGCAGAGGATCCCCAGCATTACATTTCTAGAAGGAACCTGGGAAGCAAATCTGGTGTTTCCTCCTCTTCCATCACTTTTAATGGGGCTGAGCAGAGGGAGGCAGGGGAATTCATCACCATTCTCCCTCTCACCTGTCTGGACCCCAGGCAGGACCCTGGGCTTCCAGGTCCCCATGTCTTGGAGAAAAAGGAATCTGAGCCCAAACAGGATCTCTGCTCAGAGGCTGTGGGGACCTCTGGGAACCCTAACTTCTCACCCCACTGTTGGAAGGAGGATCCAGACTTCCCAGAAGAATCTGGTCCTAGGCCAGCCTCTGAGCTCCAAGGAGGGATGTCTCTGACCTTGGATGTGGATGGGGGATGTGGCTCCCCCTCAGACTGGGGGCTTCCTGAGGCCAGATTATCCCCTCCCAATAGATCTTCATTCCTCACTCCTCCAAATGAGGAATCAGCAGAGAGCCCCTCCCTTGGGAAGGGCTGGCACAGAGAGAAACCTTTTCTCCAGCTAGTGGAGGGGCAGGATACAGGCATGGGAGGTTCAACCCAGACAGGCCTTTCTCCCCAGTTGTTCTCCTGCCTTCCACTCCAGCCCTATCCACAGAAGCAATCCTGAGGGGGAAACATCCCATTGCAGCACTGACCTAGGCCTGAAGAAGCCATCTCCAGACTCATCTCAGCTCTGCCGGGATCTCCCATAAGCTGCTGAATATGCCCCCAAGGATGGTGGGAAGTCAGGAATAACCCAGGAAACCAAGATTTGCAATTCAGTGCCTCTGAAGGACTCCCGGAGTCTCACCTAGTTGGTTAATATTTACAAGCTGCTATAAATCTACTCTGCCTATGACGTGGGATCCTGTCTGCATCTCAGCTTCCTCAGCTGTAAAATGGGCTGTACAATTTTCCCCCAAGATTGATGTTAAACAAGAGGTTGGAAAATGTTTTTGGAAGTTAAAATGATAGAACAGAAAAACAAATCCAATAAATGGTGATTATTGTTGCTGTTACTGTAATTATTGGGTTTGAATACAACTGCTGTTGATAATGGGAAGAAGGAGAGGGAGATTGAGAGGGAGGGAAAAGTGAGTAGGCTTTTCTCATTTCATCTGCTCTACTTTACTCAAGGCCCTGCCCTCTTCTCTCCTGAACCTACTGACCCGGGAGCTTTGTGTGTGTGGAGGGGGTGAGGGGGGAACAGGAGTCAGGTTGGGGAGGGACCCTAGAATGAAGAGACAAGCTAGGAAAAGTCAATTTTTCTCATCTCTATGGCGCCCATCACTATGGTACCCTGCACTACAGCAGTCAAAAGCACGAAAAACAGGTCCTTTTCCATGATGTCTCTAAAGGGACTAGAGATAGGGGAGGGGCTGCCAGTCTCCCAAGGACAGGGCAACAGGGCCCATTCTGTGACAGTGCAGTGGCTGAGTCCTAAGAGCTAGTGGCCACAGCAGCCATGTTCTGTAATATGGTCAGTGCAAAGAACCACTCACATCTCTCCAAGCTGGGCCCCACTCATTCATCTTCACAATCTCTCAGAGCCCAGGGCCTCCTGTGCCCTTTATGAGCAGGGACAGCTGGGCATGCACATGTGTGTGTTTGTGTGTGCGCATGTGCACACACGCGTGTGTGTGACTGACTTGCTAAAGGTCACCCAGCTCAGTACCACAGCCCTCCCAAGGTCTCCCTAGCTCCCAGCTTAGAATTTTCCAAGACAGAGCTCCAAGGGGGCTTATACAAGCAGCAGCCAGAGAAAGGAAGGAAGCAGGAACTAGAAGGTTGAAGAGGGCAGGGGGGTGGAGCTCCTGCAGCAAGCTCTTAAGCTCCTAGACAAATTATCTCCGCATCCCTGAGAGCCAAGCACGCAGTGGGTGCTCAATAAAAGTTTGATGAATGAATGACTGAGGCTGGGCGGCTGGGGAGGGAGGGGAGGTGGTAATTGATCAAGAGGAGAACTCGGGAGTCACTGCTCCAAATAAGCCAAGAAGACAGCAGCTGAGAAGCCTATGCTGGAAGGCTGGGGGAGCTGGGGAGAGGGTGCACAGGCTCCTGCCCCTACCCTAGAGCAGAGCGTGGAACCTCTGTCCCAGGAACTTCCTGGCCAAGAGGACAAGGGTGATTGCCTGAAGAGAAAGCTGGGGGCTATTTTCCCAAACAGTTCTATAAAGCTGTGCTCTGTCAGAATAGACTAGAGCAAGAGACAAGCTTCATGAGAAGTGAGGAATTAGGTTAGAATCTGAAGAGCATCCAAAGTTAGACACAGGAATGAGTAACCAAAGGTTAGCTTCTCCTTCTCTGGAGCCCTTTAATAGGACAGTCGGCCATCTGCTCGGATGTGGGAAGGGCTGGCCTTTGGGGAGCCAAATTTCAGTGGCTCCAGCCAGGGTCTTGGCTTCACAGGCACAACCGGAGCCTGGATGGGGGGGGGGCTTGGGGAGGACAGAGACCCAACCACGCAGACCCTTGGTGTGCACTCCCTTCCTCCCTTTTGTCAGGGGAAGTTTTTAATTAATGGTGTGTAATCTGATCTGGCCCTTCTCCCTGCTGAGTGCTGCCTTCAATCAGCGGAGCCATCTGCAATTGCAATTCATAATTCTCCTGAAAGGGAGGGGGGCCTGGGACGGGTGCCTTGGTGATTAATACAATTAGCCTTTTATGTTGATGATTGTCTTAGCAGGAGCAGATGATGCGAGCGCAGAGCCTAGGCTGTCACATCCCCACTGGCTGGCAGACAGCCCCTCTCCATTCCCCACCCCCATTGCCTCCCCCGGGTTTAAAGAGGACACAGGTCTAATCTGGGACCATGCTGCACAGTGGGGGGGCTCCACGGAGGGAGCTCCTGGGACTGAGAGGAGAGGAACAAGACAACTATCCAGAGACATTCACTTTCCAAAGAAGAACACTTGGACTTAAAGGATTCTGTGCATCAAGATTTTTGTTTTTGTTTCTTAAAAAGTAAAGACCATATAAAGATAGAATAGGGGTTGAAAGGGTTGAAAGTTTAAACACGGGCTCAGCTGCATGGACTCTGGCAAGTTATTTCAGGATCCCGAGCCTTAGTTTCCTCATTTGGAAAACAGGGTCTGTTCCTAAGGGGCTGGAAGAACCCAACGGGGCCTGACATATACACAGCTCATTCAGTGGTGGTTTTCAGCATCATCGAGGTAGACTGCCATGCTCTCTGCAGAAAAGTTCAGCTGTTTCTCCTGCAGTTTTTAACATGACCAGGCTATTACTAAAGAAGGGATCACTTCCTTCCCATACACAAGGCTGAGCTTGAATAAAGGAGACAGAGAGGGAGTGTGTGTGTGTGTGTGTTGGGGGACAATGGGGAGGCAGTGAGGAGTGTGTGTGTCTTGGGGGACAATGGGGAGGCAGTGAGGATGAGGAGTGTGTGTGTGTGTGTGTGTGTGTGTGTGTGTGTGTGTGTGTTGGGGGACAATGGGGAGGCAGTGAGGAGGATCCCAGAAGAAAGAGGAGTCAAAAATCAAACCTAAGAAAGAGAAGTAAGGCCCACCTCAGAACACAGTGGTGAAGCATTTGGAGGGACTGCGGTTTGGGGGAGATTCAATGAAGCAAAGGAGGCTGGGTGGATATGAAGCGGTGAAAAGAGCAGGGCTTTGAGCACCTGGAATCTCAGATGAAAGTAAACAAAAGGGAAACAGCTAACAGAGCTGAAGTTTAAGAGGCAGCATAGATCAAAATCTATGATCTTTAATCTATAATGAGGTCAGCTGATCTGGAACAAGCTAATTGGGGTTTTGATGGGAGATTCTGCTGGGTCAGGAGAGGTGATCAGCTCGGCCCCTCTGGGCTCACAGCGCAGTTCTCCAGGATCTGGAACAAGAAGAGAGCTCCCAGCAATAGAGGTGTTAACCGACAGCCGACGCCAGGCCCCTGGAATGTCAGGGGGAGGACAGGGAGGGACGGAGGGAGGGGAGAGGTTAGGGCTAATCAAGAGGAAGCTTCCGGCCAAGAGGTCACCACTCGGGCAGCTGGGGCAGGGGGTCTGCACAGCCAAGCTCTGTAATCACTTCTCAGGGGGGAGCAGCTACACTGAGGAGCAGTCACATATTTAGCAAAAGCTGCAGAGGGGAGGCATGGTTAGTGAAGGGGGGTTATGAGACTGGGGAGCCCAAAGGCACTAATTAATAGGCTGCAGTTAAAGGGCAGAAAAGCAGGGAATGGAAATTTTTCAGAGCTCTGATTAAGTCAGATAAAGAGTCAGTTTCTGCCTGAGCTGGGGGTGGAAGACGCCAGAGACAGAGACCAACAACTCCCCTGCACCCCCGCGGACAGATGGAACAAGGCTCAGGCAGGCCGGGGCCCAGCCCTGGGTCAGAAGAGAAAAGAGGACAGCAGTCCAGGACAGTGACCAGTTACAGAGCACCAACCCAGAGGTCCTTCCCCAGCCCTGTTGATGCTTCCAGGCCTCTTGAGCTGCCAGGTTCATCCTGAGACCCAGCTTTCAAGTCATCAGCTCCGGGCGCTCTGAAGCCTCCAGCTCCTCCCTCCTCTAAAGTTCCACAGCACTCTGCACCCACCTCCGTCCTGGCACTGAACCCATCTCTTCATAGTTTTGGGAACACCTCTCTCTACCCAAGCAAGAAGACTTTCTTAAGCAAAATTATATTTTTAGTCTCATCTCCAGGCAACAGGTTCCTTAACTTGACCATCTGTCCCCTTTTTTTGTCGGTGCCCATAACATGGCCTTCCAGTTTCCAGTAAGGAAAGTGAAAGTGTTAGTCGCTCAGTCACGTCCAACTCTTTACAACCAGGCTCCTCTGTCCATGGGATTCTCCAGGCAAGAATACTGGAGTGGGCTGCCGTGTCCTTCTCCAGGGAATGTTCCCAGGGATCAACCCCAAATCTCCTGCATTGCAGGTGGATTCTTCACGTCTGAGCCACCAAGGAAGCCCCACTTCTGCAAGGAGGAAAGACCTCTGGCATTCTAGATTTGGTGAGCCAACTGGACAAAGCATTGCACAGATTATCTAACACCTCCGTGTAAAGAACCTTGGATGTTTCAATGCTGTACTGATTTCAGAACTCTATCAGGATGTGTTGTTATATCATGGCCATTGATCCACTGAGCCTCATTGATCCACAATGCCTTCTTTCCCCTTCTCCAACTCAGGGGTCACATGTAAGGGTTCTGGGGTCATGACTAGGGCAGATTTTGATTCTCTCCTACACATTGCTTGTCTGCTTCTTCATACCAGTTGTCCTGGGGCTAGGCCTTGTTTTTCCTACACTGCAACTGCCCTCAGACCTGGGGAAACTCCTCGTTTTAATCTCTCTCTGATCACAGCTAAGTAGAAAGTTCCCTTGTCTCCACGTTGGGGCTAGCCAACAGCCTACCTCTCATGAACAGCTAATATTTCCAAGCCAAACAATCTGGATGATAAGATGCACTGCTACTGTACAAGCCACTGAAGAAAAGCACTGTTGTAGACCACTGATTATGAGAACCTAATTCTCATTAAATTGTATTTTTAAGTGCATTTTACAGTCAAGGAAATGATCATTTCTCCTTCAAGTCTTGGCTCCTTAACTCAGATTTGGGATGGAAAGCCCAAGTGGGACCGCATCGCAGGTCTCAAGTCTTCTTCCTTAGATAACACTCATTGCCCTCGTAAGCACTCAACTCCTCCAAGCATCTGTTGCTATTCCAGCTTTTAAATGCCCAGGCTGCCCCTCACAGTGAGCATCTCTTCTCCTTCAGCACCAGGGAGTCCACTGAAGAGAACCCCACTTTTTTCACAGAGGCAAAACAAAACACAAACCCTGTCAAAGCCAGGATTGCCATTTTTGAGATCATCACCTAGCACTCTGACACCAATTATCCAACCACTTCCCACCCTACAGGGCTACCTGCCCCCGAGCCTCCAGACCAGGGCCCTGAGAAGACGCCGAGATTAGTCATT